TTTCGGTTTTGGTGTGACAGTTGTTTTAGATGTTGGTGTGACAGTTGTGTCAGTGTTGGTGTGAAAACTATGCCAGTGTTGGTAGACAGTGTATTTCCATTTTTTATATTACCTTTTATCATTTAAGGATCCCCCATTCATAAATCTCCCTAGACTATTGTACCTTGTTTATACAGTTAGAAATTCCACTACATCCCACCACCACCACCCCCATCTACCTTCTTCCACCCATCTCCCTATTTCCCTCATACACTTAAAAGTACACACATTACTACTGGATACAGTGTTAAGTGTGTGTGTTAATGTTTGTGTGTTTGTGTGTGTGTATGTGTGTGTATGTGTGTGTGTGTGTGTCCCGGGACGTTGCTCCTTAAGACAAACGTTATATTTTTATTTTTGACATGACACCTTCCCTCTGACACCACGATATCTCCATGAGTGTTGATATAATTGCTAGTGCAATAATATGTGTAATAGTGTAATATTTAGTTTACTAGTACGCCTACTAGTGTAAAAGTTAGTGTAATATTTAGGGTAATAGTTAGTGTAATATGTAGTGCAATTGTTTAATAGTTAGTGTAATATTTATTGTAATAATTAGTGTAATAGTAAGTCTAATAATAGTTGGTGTAATAGGATAATAATTAGTTTAATATTGTAATAGTTAGTAACAGTTTAATAGTTAGTTTAGCAGTTAGTTTAACAGTAAGTTTAACAGTTAGTTTAACAGTTAGGTTAACAGTTAGTTTAATAGTTAATTTAATAGTTAGTTTAATAGTTAGTTTAACAGTCAGTTTAACAGTTAGTTTAATAGTTAATTTAACAGTTAGTTTAACAGTTAATTTAACAGTTAGTTTAATAGTTAGTTTAACAGTTAGTTTAATAGTTAGTTTAACAGTTAATTTAATAGCTAAGTTATACAGTTAGTTTAATCGTTAGTTTTTAATAGTTAGTGTAATACTATATTAGGGTAAAACTGCAGCCCACTACTGAGGGTTATACAATCTCTCATCAGTGTGCAATATCGTTGCCTGTTAATTATTGATTTGTAATAAATTGTTTGGCAGACAATGCAGGCAGTAAACAATGACGTGTAGTATGTGCACAGTGAGAGTCAGATATCAGTTTACTAATGATGGCTGTATTTTTGGTTTAGATTCTATGCAGTGGTTCTTAAGTGGTGGGAAACGGCTCCTTTCGAAAGAGGTTTGAATGGAGTTTCTTGACATTCGTGGAGTAATGGAGGTACAATCCGGAGACGTGTCTCACTCGTATAAATGCTTACATAAATTGGTTTACTATTTCATAAATCGCTAACCTGTTCCGTAAATTGCTTACCTCCCCTACTAGTCCCCGAGCCCGTCCCACCACGCACACCCATTCCCACCACGCTCACCCTATCCCACGCACATCCAGTCTCACCACCATACTCAGTCCCACCACGCACATCCAGTCCCATCACGCACACCCAGATCCACCACCCACAACAAGTCACACCACCATACCACGCCCCACCACGAACACCCAGTCTCACCACCATACCCAGTCCCACCACGCAAATCCAGGATCACCACGCACACCCAGTCCCAACATGCACACCCAGGATCACCACCATACCCAGTCCAACCACGCACACCCAGTCCCACCACGCACATCCAGTCCCACCACGCACACCCAGTCTCACCACCATATCCTGTCCCACCACGGACACCCAGTCTCACAACCATACCCGTCCAACAACGCACACCTAGTCCCACCACGCACACCCAGTCCCACCACGCTCACCCTGTCCCACCACGCTCACCCTGTCCCACCACACACACCAAGTCCCACCACGCACACCCAGTTCCACCACGCACACCCAGTACCACCACGCACACACTATCCCACCACGCTCACCCTGTCCCACCACGCATACCCAGTCCCACCACCATACCCAGCCCCACCACACTCAAGTCTCACCACCATACCCAGTCTCACCACCATACCCAGTCCCACCACCATACCCAGTCCCACCACCATACCCAGTCCCACCACGCACACCCAACCCCATCACACTCCAGTCTCACCACCNAGAATTTTATTAAAGTGTCCAAACAATGCCAGAATTTTTCACTCTTCGCAAAATCCACTATTTTTGGATTACACCCCCACCTCCCATGACGCCCTCCATCATGCTCAACCATGCACCCCACCATGATGCCCCACCATGATACCCCACCACGCACACCGAGCCCCACAACTCATCCAGTCTCACAACCATACTCAGTCTCACCACCATACCCAGTCCAACCACCATACCCAGTCCCACCACCATACCCAGTCCCACGACCATACCCAGTCCCACCACCATACCCAGTCCCACTACGCACACCCAGCCCCACCACTCTTCCAGTCTCACCACAACCTTTACCAAGTTCAACCACCCCTTAACCACCCAACCCACCCAGTCCCATCATAACCCATTAGATATATCTTCTTCTTCTATACATTAAGGGACCATGATCTATTTACTGATCATTCTTGCTCCTATGCATTTTAAAGGGGATTTGAAATGTTTCTGTGACTGGTGTTGATGAGGATATTTCACTGGTTGCAAGGCTACATAAGGAGGTAACAAAACTGGAGTCTGGAAGGCCTGAGGCAATAGACGCACATTTTTCAAGTGTTTTCAAATGTTCCTATTGGAACCTTGTCCCTGATTGTCTTTGGTAGGGATGAGTCGATCATGTACGGGCTTCTTGCTAATATGTGGCCGAAATGCCTGTCATGGCCTCTTTCCTGTCTATGGGGAGAATGACGATTTATTGATGTCTCTTTAGGCTTTCAAAGCAAGTTGAAACGCGTCAATAGGGTCAACTGTTTGTTAAACTCTGTGTTAGTCTATTCGCGTTAGTCAGCCAATATCTGAATGGATGAAGACGGTCCATACGTGATACGTGTCTGACGTGTGAAAGTAATCGATTCCTGGCTGAAGTTTGAAGGTGATCGACTCTATTTTTTAATACCTTGTTAATTGCTGAATTTTTTTAAAGACGCTGACCTTTATTGTGGTGGTGTAAATATCACGATTGTTGTAGTGCAGAAACCGTAATTTTGATAGTGTAAAGATGATGGTGGAAGTGTAAAGACAAGAATTGTTGTAGTGTAAAACAATGATTGTGGTAGTGTAAAGACTATGATTGGGGTAGTGTAAAGACAATGATTGTGGTAAGGTAAATACCATGATTGTGGTAGTGTAAAGAAAATTATTGTGGTACAGTAAAGACAATGATTGTGGAAGTGTGAAGGCCATGATTGTGGTTCTGTAAAGATAATGATTGTGGTAAGGTAAAGACAATGATTGTGGTAGTGTAAAGACTATGATTGTGGTACATGAAAGAAAATTATTGTAGAAAGTTAAAGACCATGAGTGTGGTAGTGTGAAGACCATGATTGTGGTAGTGTAAAGACAATGATTGTAGTAAGCTTGAGACAATGATTGTGGTAGTGTAAAAACCATGATCGTGGTAGTGTAAAAACCATGATCGTGGTAGTGTAAAAACCATGATCTGTAGAGAAGTGTTTAACCAGTTGGTGTGAACTAGATTGTCGTGAATTTTTGTTAGGGGGAGTTGTTAGTCCTTAGATCAGATCGTGAAGTTGGTTCGTTCTATTAAGCCTTACCGTTTGCCGAGTGTTTATTGTGTAGGGATATAAAAGGCAGGGTGTTATTTGATCGGTAGAAGAGGAGAAGAGATAGATAGAGAGGGAGTCAGAGGAGAGTTAGCGTGAAAATGCAAAAGCTAGTGTTATTTGAATAGGGGCAGCTCCTGTCATAATAAAGAATTGCTAAGTCACCTTATTGAAGGTTTGTTGTTGATTTTAAATGTGGACCAAGCATGGCTGTGTGACAGTGAGGTAGGGACCAAGCATGGCTGCGTGTTAGCGTAGTGTGGACCAAGCATGGCTGTGTTGACAGTGAAGTTTGATAACGGTGCCAGTTATGTAGAAGCATAGAAAGATTCGAATTACGGAACAGCGTTAAGAAAAGAGATGTAACATTTCGAAGCACACACATTCATTTAATAGGAAAGGTCGTAACATGTGTGAAGACCAAAAGAAAGAAGATCGTAACACTGGCGAGATATGTGATAGTGGATCTGGAGAGACGTGTTACACCACTGAGACTGTATGGAATTCTGAGCAGTTCAATATGATGTGATTGGGCAGTAGAAACTGATCAAGATCACAACAAGATGGCTACAACATCACTTGAACATCACAACAACATGGCTACAACACCACTTCAAAATCACAACAACATTGCTACAACATCACTTCAACATCACTACAACATCACAACAACATTGCTACAACATCACTTCAACATCCCTTCAACATCACAACAACATGACTACAACATCAGAACAACATCACTACAACATCCCTTCAACATCACAACAACATGACTACAACATCACAACAACATGACTACAACATCACAACTACATTACTACATCACACGGACCAGCACATACATGACACACAGTACACATGGGACACAAACGGCACACACGACACATGGGACACAAACGGCACACACGACACATGGGAAACAAAGGACACACAGGACACATGGGACACAAAGGACACACAGGTCACACAAAACGTTTGAATCACTTGAAGAGTAAAACTCATGAATGGTTCATATCTGCGGACATTTGAGGAAGTTGTTTCAAATCAATAAGAAAGATATTTTTGGATGACATATTTTCATGATTTTTTTTGGGGATAATATAGATGTTCTTGTCTCCCCCCCCCCAACCCCCAAAACAATCTCACTTTTTTAAAAGATTTTAACTTGAACTCTCCTCTTGATTGTATCATCGAGACTTCATGTTGAGCTTTGCATCGGGACACTCAGACTACCAACAGAAGCAGCCGTTGTATAAAAAGCAGACCTAACGTAAGAAACATACATGTGTAAGAAGCAGACATTTGTAATAAACAGAGTTGTTGTGAGAAACAGACAGCTGTAATTGAGGGACGGTTACCGAAGAGCAGAAGTTCCTGGGATGCTCCCTCGTGTGAGAAAAAAAAGTGTGTTCCTGACACTGCTAGTCCTGGTCCTGGTCCTGGTCACTACTTTATCATGTGAGTACTCACAGCATATCTAGATTTATTTACGAAGTTTACAAATAACTATCAAAGTATGACTTCAGTAAAGCAAAAAAAAAGTTAAAAAGCAAATTGCATAGGAGAAATTAAAAAAATAAATTAAAATTTATTTTTTTTAAAGGCTTCTTTTCAAGACAAGTTTAAACATATTAAAAGTAAAAATAATATAATTAAAATATCTTAAAATTTGTTACGCAAAAAAAAAAAGGTCAAAAAAAAAATCAACCTTGTTGAGTTTTTCGTATGTCCCAACAATATGGGGGATGTTCCAGATGTCACTACCATATTGGGTGGTTTAACATGTCACTATGGGGTTATTTCTTATGTCACTAGTATATGGGGAATTGTTCCAGATGTCAATATAATATGGGGTTTGTTTGATATGTCACTACCATATGCGGGTCGAATCAAAATTAAATACCCTATACGGTTGTTTCATGTCACTACAATATTGGCTTCTTTAATTTTTCACTACCATATAGGTTTGGTTTACATTTTACTCTTATATAGGGGAGCTTTCATATGGCACTACCATATGTGGTTGTTTAATGTGTCACTACCATATAGGTGTGGTTTACATTCCACTCTTATTTTGGGGTGCTTTCATATGTCACTACCATATGTGGTTGTTTAATGTGTCACTACCATATATGTGTGGTTTACATTTCACTCTTATATAGGGGAGATTTCATATGGCACTACCATATGTGGTTGTTTAATGTGTCACTACCATATAGGTGTGGTTTACATTTCACTCTTATATAGGGGAGCTTTCGTATGACACTACCATATGTGGTTGTTTAATGTGTCACTACCATATAGGTGTGGTTTACATTTCACTCTTATATAGGGGAGCTTTCATATGGCACTATCATATGTGGTTGTTTTATATACAAGGTTGAACTTGTTTTAAGGGATTTTTAAATTTTAAAATAATACATTCCATATGATTCCCTCCACACACACTTTTCTAGGTTTGACCAGTTATGGCTCCTATGGCTCAGTAATCTCTTGACACTGGCTCGCAAACTTGAACTAGGAGATTTGAAAGTTTAGAAACGTAACCGAGAAGATATGGAAGCTTAGAGACGTAAACTAGGAAAGTAGAAAAACTAAGAATCGTGAATTAGGCGATAGGTAACTATAGAGACACGAACAGGGAGATAGGCAAGCTAAGAAACGTGAATTAGGCGATAAGTAACCATAGAGACACGAACAGGGAGATAGGCAAGCTAAGAATCGTGAATTAGGCGATAGGTAACAATAGAAACACGAACAGGGAGATAGGCAAGCTAAGAAACGTGAAATAGGCGATAGGTAACCATAGAGACACGAACAGGGAGATAGGCAAGCTAAGAAACGTGAATTAGGCGATAGGTAACCATAGAGACACGAACAGGGAGATAGGCAAGCTAAGAAACGTGAATTAGGCGATAGGTAACCATAGAGACACGAACAGGGAGATAGGCAAGCTAAGAATCGTGAATTAGGCGATAGGTAACCATAGAGACACGAACAGGGAGATAGGCAAGCTAAGAAACGTGAATTAGGCGATAGGTAACAATAGAAACACGAACAGGGAGATAGGCAAGCTAAGAAACGTGAAATAGGCGATAGGTAACCATAGAGACACGAACAGGGAGATAGGCAAGCTAAGAAACGTGAAATAGGAAAACGTAGACACATTTACCAGGCAAGTAGGAAAACTTACAGAGGTGAACTAGGCAAGTAGGAAAACTTACAGAGGTGAACTAGGCAAGTAGGAAAACTTACAGAGGTGAAATAGGCAAGTAGGAAAACTTACAGAGGTGAACTAGGCAAGTAGGAAAACTTACAGAGGTGAACTAGGCAAGTAGGAAAAGTTAGAAACGTGAACTAGGCAAGTAGGCAAACATAGAGACGTGAATTAGACAAGTAGGAAAACTTAGAGACGTGAACTAGGCAAGTAGGAAAATTAGAGACGTGAACTAGGCAAGTAGGAAAACTAAGAAACGTGAACTAGGCAAGTAGGCAAACATAGAGACGTGAATTAGACAAGTAGGCAAACTTAGAGACGTGAAAAAGGCAAGTAGGAAAAATTAGAGACGTGAACTAGGCAAGTAGGAAAAATTAGAGACGTCAAGTAGGCAAACTTAGAGACATGAATTAGAAAAGTAGGATAACTTACAGTCGTGAATTAGGCAGTAGGAAAACTTAGAGACGTGAACTAGGCAAGTAGACAAACATAGAGACGTGAACTAGGCAAGTAGGCAAACTTAGAGACGTGAACTAGGCAAGAAGGCAAACTTAGAGACGTGAACTAGGAAAGTAGGAAAATTTAGAGATGTGAACTAGGTAAGTAGGAAAACTTAGAGACGTGTACTAGGCAAGTAGGCAAACTTAGAGACGTGAACTAGGAAAGTAAGAAAACTTAGAGTCGTGAACTAGGCAAAAAGCAAACTTAGAGACGTGAACTAGGAAAGTATGCAAACTTAGAGACGTGAACTAGACAAGTAGGCAAATTTAGAGACATGAACTAGCCAAGTAGGAAAACTTAGAGATGTGAACTAGGAAAGTAGGAAAACTTAGAGACGTGAACTAGACAAGAAGCAAACATAAAGATGTGAACTAGGCAAGTAGGAAAACTTAGAGACGTGAACTAGACAAGAAGCAAACATAAAGATGTGAACTAGGCAAGTAGGAAAACTTAGATACGTGAACTAGACAAGAAGCAAACATAAAGATGTGAACTAGGCAAGTAGGAAAACTTAGAGACGTGAACTAGACAAGAAGCAAACATAAAGATGTGAACTAGGCAAGTAGGAAAACTTAGATACGTTAACTAAGCAAACATAGAATCGTGAACTAGGCAAGTAGGAAAACTAAGAATCGTGAACTAGGCAGGTAGGCAAACTTAGAGACATGAACTAGGTAAGTAGGAAAGCTTAGAGACATGAACTAGGCAAGTATGCAAACCTAGGGACGTGACCTACTTCAATCCGCGGGTCTCCTGTGGGTGACCAAGGTAGGGTTTTGGAAGGTCTGTAAGTCTATTTTTTAAAGGCAAGAATATATTCTAAAAAAGTGAAGTTAACCTGTACTATTACAATAGGACCTAAACGGTTTTTTTTTCCAAAGAAGTGGCCCCGGTGTATGAAACGTTGACACGGTGTATGAAACCTGGCCCCGGTGTATGAAACCTTGACTCGGTGTATGAAACCTTGACCTGGTGTATGAAACCTTGACCCGGTGTATGAAACCTGGCCCCGGTGTATGAAACCTTATCCTGGTGTATGAAACCTTGACCCGGTTTATGAAACCTGGACCCGGTGTATGAAACAAGGACCCTGTGTATGAAACCTGGCCCCGGTGTATGAAACCTGGCCCCGGTGTATGAAACCTGGACCCGGTGTATGAAACCTGGCCCCGGTGTATGAAACCTTGACCCGGTGTAGGAAACCTGGCCCCGGAGTATGAAACNTTTATGAAACCTGGACCCGGTGTATGAAACAAGGACCCTGTGTATGAAACCTGGCCCCGGTGTATGAAACCTGGCCCCGGTGTATGAAACCTGGACCCGGTGTATTAAACCTGGCCCCGGTGTATGAAACCTTGAACCGGTGTATAAAACCTGGCCCCGGAGTATGAAACCTGGCCCGGTGTATGAAACCTGGCCCGGTGTATGAAACCTAGACCCGGTTTATGAAAACTGGACCCGGTGTATGAAACCTGGACCCTGTGTATGAAACCTAGCCCCGATGTATGAAACCTGGACCCGGTGTATGAAACCTTGACCCGGTGTATGAAACCTGGCCCCGGTGTATAAAACCTGGCCCCGGTGTATGAAACCTTGACCCAGTGTATGAAACCTGGCCATGGTGTATGAAACCCTGACCTCGTGTATGAAACCTGGACCCGGTGTATGAAACCTTGACCCGGTGTATGAAACCTGGACCCGGTTTATAAAACCTGGACCGGGTGTATGAAACCTTGACCCGGTGTATGAAACCTAAACACGGTGTATGAAACCTGGCACCAGTTTTCTGATACCTGGACCTGGTGTATGAAACCTTGACCCGGTGTATGAAACCTGGCCCCGGTGTATGAAACCTGGACCCGGTGTATGAAACCTGGACCCGGTGTATGAAACCTGGCCCCGGTGTATGAAACCTGGACCCAGTGTATGAAACCTTGCTCCGGTGTATGAAACCTGGACCCGGTGTATGAAACATGGACCCGGTGTATGAAACCTGGCCCCGGTGTATGAAACCNGTGTATGAAGCGTGGCCTCGGTGTATGAAACCTGGCCCCGGTGTATGAAACCTGGACCCGGTGTATGAAACCTGGACCCGGTGTATGAAACCTGGACCCGGTGTATGAAACCTGGCCCAAGTGTATGAAACCTGGATCCAGTGTATGAAACCTGGCCCCGGTGTATGAAACCTGGACCCGGTGTATGAAACCTTGTCTCAGTGTATGAAACCTGGACCATGTGTATGAAACCTTGTCCTGGTGTATGAAACCTGGACCCGGTGTATGAAACCTTGTCCCGGTGTATGAAACCTGGACCCATTGTATGAAGCCAGGCCCCGGTGTATGAAACCTGGACTAGGCGTATGAAACCTGGACCCGGTTAAGTCCTAGTATATTCATCTATAATACACCAGCAAACGTCAAACACCATCACGGGTCAAACACCACGCTGCTATTAATAGATACGCCAGATTGTAGTTCAATAGTGAGTTCACTAGTGAGCAAAGTATAATTCCCCATAACTACGCTATGTATGATATATATTTCTTTTAAATATCGCTATTTCGGAAATGAAATCGTCTCAATTTAAGTATTGTGTCAAAAACGTTCAGTTTAAAAGTGGTTGGGACATCAGAATATTAATATAGTTCATGGGCGTGAAAAGTGTGCAGTGACGTATCCTTGGGGAAGGGGTCTAGCAAATATTGAGATTCTTTTAAATGTGTGTTACTTGAGTTCATGTTTTGTCGAGTAACTTTACTAGATGGGAAGTTCGCGCATGCGCGCTATATCTAATTTTTGTTATTTCAGATTATGCCCGCATGATGACGTTCAAGTTTGAACCAGTTCAACAGACATTTTATAAACTTTCCCTTGGGGATTATAACACCTCTGTACGAAATGAAACATCAGTCTACGCCCCAAATAATGACACCCTCACTTCTCGCAACACTTCCCCTAACACAGCTCAAAGCACCACTCCTGTCACCGCCTACAGCACCCCACCTGCCGCGACGACACCGTCCACAACGGTGGCTCGGCGCTATTTGATCACGTGTGGTGAGTACGGCCAATTGGGAAACGCCATGTTTCAATACGCAGGCCTCCTGGGCGTAGCAAAGACGAACGACAGGGTGCCAGTGATACGCCCACAGTATAAGCTTACTAGCATTTTCAAACTCAGCCACGTGAGAGATGTGGGGAGCGACCACACCTTTCAAGTTGTGAGTGAGGCTGCCTACGGGAGGTACGACACCAGTCTAGAAAGTCTGCCACCAGCAGACATTCTTTTGTCTGCCTACCTCCAATCGTACAAATATTTCCACAAAAATGCGGAAGTCGTCCGACAAGAATTTACATTTCAAGATCATATTAAACAAGAAGCAGACGATCTCATGGCGTCACTTAAGCCGGTTATCAAAGAGCGCCTTCCGGTCGGAGTTCATGTTCGCAGAGGTGATAAACTTCTAGATAAAGACAGATCGCAAGGAGACTTGGTAGCCTCGGACTCATACTTTGAGAAAGCTTTTCATGACATGCGCACACGACATGGTGACGTTGTCTTTCTCATTGCTACAGACGATGTAACATGGTGTCAAAATACTTTCGGGAACAAGTCGGACGTCATAATACTACCCCCTAAGTCTCGTGAGGTAACTGTATCATTATTATTTTTTTAATTGAATTTATTAATTTTGAAACTGAAATGGTTGCTGGGATTTTGTTTCAACATTTAAGTTTGTTTGATTTAGGCTGTCAAGTATTTATTTACCTAAGGAGTTGGAAATAGTTTGTTCAGAGGGACGCATGGGAACACATACGTTGGCTTGCCACTATACATGAGGAAAACAGGATTCAGGGGAAGCTATATATAGGTAAACATGATGTAGGTGAAGATATAAAGGAGAAACATAATCCAGGCGACGCTAAATGGGGAAAAACATGACCTAGGGGGACGCTATACAATTGGAAACATGATTTAGGTGATGCTATACAATGGGAAACTTGATTTATGTGATGCTATACGATGTACAAATGATCAATGGGACGCTGTACTAGAATAAACAGGATTTAGGCAAAGCTATGCTGGGGTAACCGTGATCTACGAATCACTATACAATCACGTTAGAGTCGAGATATTGGACAGAAGACGGTTTAGGTTTTGTGACATTTCATTGGTTTCATTGATTTCTTTTTTTTACCTTTCTTGTCTAAAATTGACCTTGATTGTTTCATGTAGCCTTAGAAAGTTTACTGTTCAGAAATGAAATCAGTCGTGATAAGGAGTATGCAAAAACAACAAAACAATCAATATGGATACAAGTATAATACAATCAATATAGAAACATGTATAACACAATCAATTTAGAAACATGTATAGCACAATCAATATAGAAACATGTATAACACAATCAATATAGAAACAGGTATAACACAATCAATTTAGAAACATGTATAACAAAATCAATATAGAAACATGTATAAAACAATCAATTTAGAAACATGTATAACACAATCAAAATAGAAAAATGTACAACACAATTAATATAGAAAAAACTTCACAATGAGCTACAAATAAAAAAGTTCATTTGTTGTTTTGTTTTTGAAAATTTTTAGTTCTCATGTAAGCGAAAGATTTTGTAATGCATACATTCATTTTGAGATGTATACACCCATTTTGAGATGTATACACCCATTTTGAGATGTATACACACATTTTGTGATGTAAAAATCCATTTTGTGATGTAGACATACACCCATTTTGTGATGTATACACACATTTTGAGATGTATACACACATTTTGTGATGTAAACATCCATTTTGTGATGTATACATACACCCATTTTGTGATGTATACATACATTTTGTGATGTAAACATCCATTTTGTGATGTATGCATACACCCATTTTGAGATGTATACACACATTTTGTGATGTATACACAAATTTTGAGATGTATACACACATTTTGTGATGTAAACATCCATTTTGTGATGTATACATACACCCATTTTGTGATGTATACATACATTTTGTGATGTAAACATCCATTTTGTGATGTATGCATACACCCATTTTGAGATGTAAACACACATTTTGGGATGTAAACATCCATTTTGTGATGTATACATACACCCATTTTGTGATGTATACACCCATTTTGAGATGTATGCACACATTTTGTGAAGTATACACCTATTTTGAGATGTATGCACACATTTTGTGATGTAAGCATCCATTTTGTGATGTATACATACACCCATTTTGTGATGTATACACCCATTTTGAGATGTAAACATCCATTTTGTGATGTATGCATACACCCATTTTGAGATGTAAACACACATTTTGTGATGTAAACATCCATTTTGTGATGTATACATACACCCATTTTGTGATGTATACATACATTTTGTGATGTAAACATCCATTTTGTGATGTATGCATACACCCATTTTGAGATGTAAACACACATTTTGGGATGTAAACCTCCATTTGTGATGTGTACACCCATTTTGAGATGTATACACACATTTTGTGATGTAAACACACATTTTGTGATGTAAACACCTATTTTGTGATTTATACACACATTTTGTGATGTATACACACATTGTGTGATGTAAACATCCATTTTGTGATGTAAACACACATTGTGTGATATATAAACCCATTTTATGATTTAAACACCCATTTTGTGAGGCAAACATCTATTTTCTGGGGTACTTTCCATTATGTGACGTACATGTTCATTTTGTGACGTAAAAGTCCATTTTGTGAGTTACATGCCCATCATTCAAATTAATAGTTTTAATATTTTTGAGGAAATCCCTTGAGCTCACAGGAGAAGTAATAAAATGAAAAAAAACGGTAGGACACAAAAACTAAGGAATGGCACGGCTTTGAAAGTTAGCAGTAATTAATGTTAAGAACTTCAGCACAGCAACCATTTGGGAATCTGCGTGACACAATAATAGTACATATTATCTTCTCCTTTTGTAGGATTTTTGATTGAATGAATACCCATATAGCGCTAGGTATCCATGTTATGTTAGCATGCTCACTGCGCTCTTAGTGATGGCATCCGGGGCGTCGCCGGGGTTGTCAGAATGATTCATTGTTTGGATGTTTGCCTCCTGTAGGAGACGCCATCTCCAGGTTTGAATGTAGAGTTTCCTTCCCTTAGATGAGTTGCCGACCAAGGTTAACGAGTCTCATCTACTCAAGGCGCTGGTGAGGTTTCTTAGCTTGACTGGGCTTTAGGAATTGAACTCCCGACCACCAACTTGAGATTGCTCAGTTTAGACAACTGGGCCACCCAGCACTCAGGTTCAAGGGAGGCGTATTAGTGTGTCGGATATAATAACTAATGGCGTGGTGTGTCGAGTATAATTACAAATGGCGTGGTGTGTCGGGTATAGTTACTAATGGCGTGGTGTGTCGTGTAGAGTTACTAATGGCGTGGTGTGATGGGTATAATTAATAATGGCGCGATGTGTAGAAAATGATTACTAATGGCGTGGTATGTCAGATATAATTACTATTGGTGCAGTGTTTCAGGTATAATTACTTTTTGCGTGGTGTGTCGGGTAAAATTACTAATTGGGCGGTGTGTCGGGTATAATTACTAATGGCGTGGTGTGTCGGGTATAATTACTACTGGCGGGCTGTGTCGGGTATAATTACTAATGGCGTGGTGTGTCGGGTATAATTACTAATGGCGTGGTGTGTCGGGTATAATTACTACTGGATTACTAATGGCGTGGTGTGTCGGGTATAATTACTACTGGCGGGCTGTGTCGGGTATAATTACTAATGGCGTGGTGTGTCGGGTATAATTACTAATGGCGTGGTGTGTCGGGTATAATTACTACTGGTGGGCTATGTCGGGTATAATTACTAATGGCGTGGTGTGTCAGGTATAATTACTTATGGCGTGGTGTGTCGGGTATAATTACTAATGGCGAGTTGTGTCAGGTATAATTTTTATTGGTGCAGTGTGTCGGGTATAATTAATAATGACATGGGGAGGTCGGGTATGATTACTATGGGCGTGTTGTGTCGGGTATAATTACTAATGGCGCGGTGTGTCGGGTATTATTACTAATTGCGTGGTGTGTCGTGTATAATAATTAATGAAGTGGTGTGTCAGGTATAATTACTAATGCCGCAGTGTGTCGGGTATAATTACTAATGCGCAGAGTGTCGGTTATAATTACTAATGGCGTGGTGTGTCGGGTATAATTACTATTGGCGCATTGTGTTGGGTATAATTACTAATGGCGTGGTGTGTCGGGTATGATTACTAATGACGTGGTGTGTCGGGTATAATTACTATTTGCACAGTGTGTCGGTTATAATTACAAATGGCGCGTTGTGTCGGGTATGATTACTAATGACGTGGTGTGTCGGGTATAATTACTATTTGCACAGTGTGTCAGGTATAATTACTAATGGTGTGGTGTGTCGGGTATTATTACTAATGGCGCGATGTATCGGGTATAATTACTTATGGTGTGGTGTGTCGTTTATAATAACTATTGGCGTGGTGTGTCTTGTATAATTACAAATCGCGTTGTGAAAGATGAATTGGGAAACAAAAAGTAACCTGATGTGTAGCATTGTGATCAATCCAAAAAAGACCAATGCCCCCACCGAGGGGACCAACTTTAGGTAAATAGATAGTTCAGCACAGTGAGTTAAATTACTGCACTTGGTGGGGTGACACAGTTGAACCCGCTTATCTCGACCTCGGTTAAGTCACCAACCCTTTTATGTCAACGTGTTGGACGTGGAACCGCCAAATTCTCTCTTTGTCTTAGCATAATAACCTCGGTTATGTAGATTATTTTATGTGGCCAAACCCTGATATCTCGAGCACAAAAGACGGCCAAATTTCCCTTTAAGCCTCAGTTATCTTGATCCCCATGACCAATGACCGGCTTTCAACAACAGAAACGTGCCTACTTGAAAATTTGTATTTAATTGATTATGAAATGACAATATTGTTTTCCGCGCAATTAACTTGACACAGCAAGAAGCGAGGAGCGAGAAGCTTGCAAACAAAAGAGAGGGGTCACAGCACATGTTCTATTTATAGCGAGCCCACTTGTTGCTTAAAACTTAAAAGGTTTGCACGCGTTTTTACAGTTTGATTTTTTTAAAGACAATATCCGCCTTTGACTAAAACGAACTGGCGAATCCTGAGCAAGAGAAAATAAAAACTCGTAAATCCGGAGCTGAAAAGTATTTAGCCTCATGAATCCGGAATTCTACGATAATCCGGAAAATATGCACCACACATATGGCGTGTTTGATTAGCATTTATAAACGCACATGGTGTACATAAAGATATTTCAAGCACATGTTAATATATTGTCACCATATTGGTTTTTCGTTAATCTCTGTCATTGGTTATCTCGACGCTTTTTGGCAAACCACTAGGCCATCGACATAACCGGGTTCTACTGTAATAGTATGGCAGTGAAGTCTTGGGGCTAGAGTCATCAAAATGGGAGCTGGGGTACTAAGGGTTTCACAAATAAATTACTGCTGCGGGCACCATTTATGACACCATGTTGTTGAACTAAGGGTTTAGCCAGTTACCGGAGAGTGTGTGTCCATCTGTATTGTTGTGACAGTGGAAAAAGTGCCTAGAGCTCACAGATCTGATTTTGA